AGGAGGGGCAGAGAGGCTGCTTTTGGCTGTTCAGCAGCCTGTTGCTGGCAGGGGGGTGGGGGGGGCAGCGGGAGTGGGGAGGCACTTTTCCTCTGCCCAGCAGCTCTGCGGGACCCCAGTCGGAGCCGGCCCGAGGAGGAGAAGGATCCTAGGACCCAGGTGAGCGAGCCCCGGGAATGCTGCTGCGCATGTGCGGGAGTTGCCTCACCCCGTTCGTATCTAGGGATCCGACGTAAGTCGGATCCACGTAAGTCGGGGACTGCCTGTACACATTTTCACTTCTAATGTGAAATCAGTGCTGCTGTATAGCTCAGAGGCATGGCGCGTTGTCCAGAGCAACACTAAGAGAATTCAGACGTTTGTCAATAAATGCCTTAGGACACATTCTCCAGCTAAACTGGTATGACAGTGCGCCAAACAAAACCTCGTGGACTAAAACAAATCAGACACCAACGGAGGTCCAGATTAAGAAGAGAAAATGGTGATGGGCAGGCCACATCATGTGTAAGGACTGTGAGGAATGTATCATGAGACAAGCATTAGAATGGAATAAACAAATAAACATGGGGATGAAGCTTCCTGGATGAAGTAAAAGCAGCTGGCTTAATGTGGGATCAAATCAAGACTATCGCTAAGGATCGCAAGAGATGGAGAATGACCGTGGAGGCCCTATGCTCCATTAGAAGACCAAAGGACAAATGATGATGAAGCTTGCTTTAGCCAATTTGCCTGGAAATTAATAGTAAAAAATAAACAAATAAACATGGGGATGAAGCTTCCTGGATGAAGTAAAAGCAGCTGGCTTAATGTGGGATCAAATCAAGACTATCGCTAAGGATCGCAAGAGATGGAGAATGACCGTGGAGGCCCTATGCTCCATTAGAAGACCAAAGGACAAATGATGATGAAGCTTGCTTTAGCCAATTTGCCTGGAAATTAATAGTAAAAAATAGAAATATCAGACAAACAGATTAACATTATTTGTTGAGGAAGAGTCAACATGACTTGTGAAAGGAAATCATGTCTCGATCTAGCGGAATTCTTTGAGAGTGTCGACAAAGGTGATCCAGGGCATTATTGTATCAACGGTTTTCTGAAAGTTCAAGTCCAAGGCCCTTCAACCAAAGGCTCTTAAGTGAAATAAGCTGGCATAAGATAAGAGGGAAGGTCCTCTCATGGATCAATAGCTGATTAAAAGACAGAAATAGGGTAGAAATTAATGGGTAGTATTCAGAATGGAGAGAGAAGTAGTAGTGTCCATCTGGGGTCTGTACTGGAACCAGTGCTATCCAACATTGTTAAATGATCTGGAGAAAGGGGTAAACAGTGAGGCTGAAAAATTTGTAGGTGATACAAAATTAGTCAAGATAGTTAAGTCCAAAGCAGGCTATGAAAAGTTGCAAAGGGTTTTCCCCAAAGTGAGTGGCGGGACAACAACATGGCAGATGAAATACAATGCTGATAAATGCAAAGTAATGCACATTGGAAAAAATAATCCCAACTATAAGTATACAATAATGGGATCTAAATTAGCTGTTACCATGTGAGAAAGATCTTTGGAAACATCTGCTTAATTTGCAGCAGTTGCCAAAAAACTGACAATGTTAGAAACCATTAAGAAAGGGATAAATAAGACGACAAATCACCAATGTCACTACAGGCAGTCCCCGAGTTACGCGGATCTGACTTATGTCAGATCCGTACTTATGAACCGGGCTTTTCTCGCCCCGGAGGATGCGGGCAGCGGGACCGCCCAGACGCACTGAGGTCCCACCGCCCTCGTCCTCCGGGGTGAGAAAAGCTGCTCCTCATCTCCCTGGTCTGCTGGGGGGCGGGGGAGGCCACCCCCAGCAGACCAGGGAGACGCGGAGCAAAGCCGCGGAGGAACCCGGGCGGGGGGACTGCGGCGCGTCTGGGCGGTCCCCCCCGCCCGGGTCCTCCGCGGGTTTGCTCCGCATCTCCCTGGTCTGCCGGGG